TAATTCGTAACATATTTTATTACACGATATTACATAATAACCTCATTTTGAGAATTTGAACAGTGTTTAATTTCTTAAACATTAAGGTATTAAACTTCAGAATAATCATGTGTTCATCAATAAACTATTGCAAAGTATCTATAAGGTTTTACACTTAATTTGTTTTTCATTACGACAGTACAAATACAAATACAAAGAATGCTGTTGATCACGAACAACAATTAGAAACTATAATTATGTCACAATGACTGCTACTCATTACAGTCTTAAAGAAATTATAAATACCCCTTAAGTTTGTTCAGTTTTATTACAAATTAAATAGGATAGATACCGTAGAAAAGAGATATCTAATATTATATTAAGCTTCATTTCTTTTTCTTTTAAAAATACGTACTGTCTACTTATTATTATGTCAAAATTTCATCTGAATAATTTCTTCCTATAATTTAAAACAACTTTCATTTATGATAAATGATGTAAGATGGAAATAAAATGTAATATATTATTAAGTTAACCAGTTCATTGAATTGAGAAATAACTGATACTATGATTAATTAAACTGGAAACTTTTGAACAGTGGAGCTAATCCGTGTCGGGTAGAAACAGATGTCTACCTTAGTACAATGGAAGATGGTCGTGCAACTTCGTGAATTGGTCGAGGTTAGACATTAACACCGTTAGATGCCGGCCCAGTGGTCTAATGGTTAAGCGTTCGCGCATGAGACTGATAGGTCCTGAGTTAGAATTCCGAGCGCGGGATCGTGGGTGATCACTACTGAAGAGTCCTGCACTAAGACGAAACGGCCCTCCAGTGCTTCCTGGTTTTCAATGGTGACCTAACATCAATCGGTTCATGATCTCAATCAAGACCTAACAATCTCCACAACCCCTATACTGATAATTAGTTTAATTGTATAAGAAACATCATCTGACCAAAATGAATCAGTAGGCAAACAATAGTTAACATTTTAATATTACAATTAATATTACGATAACTTACCTATGTTTATAGATTAGTATACAACAGGGAAATTTAATATAACTTTTGATTAAGTATGTAATTATAATAAATGTTTACATCACTTGGTATGACATTTTTACTACCTAACTTCCTATTATCAGAGTAATTAGTTTGTGGAATAGTTTTTTTATTTAAAAAGTATCACGATAATGGTAATAAGAATACAAAGATTATCAGAACTATGTAGTATATTGGCGTAATACATGTCGAACAATCTGACCACATATATACTTATTAAGAACATTTATATATAAAAAAATTAAATGTCAGCTAGATTGAAATTCTAATTTTCACTTCAAAATATAATCTTATGGGTCTAAACATTAACACGTACATACCTATTAGACAATATGCTTTGATATTTGTACTCATAAATCATATTTACTAAGTAAGTAACTATTGCTAATTCACCATGTTAAGTTTGAATTATCAAACTCAAAAATGTTCAAACTAAGTTATCAAAGAAAAAAAATACTACTCAGTATTGTTTTAATGATTCTCTCTACTTAAATCTCAATTCATTATGAAACTATTCAGTATATTGAATTGTAAACAATTAATTATTTAATTCAATTATTAATAAAGGAACAATACAAAAGCTGTAATATTGAAGTAATAATATATAATAAATAATAATCCCTAATTAAACAATCTTTAATGTAGGATATACCCTGTAAAATATCTTCATTAAATCAAGATTTAATCATAATCATATCTGGTTTACATTATGAATATTTCATTCATTGTCTATTTCATTCTTTAAATGAAAGTGTTTATTTATTTATTGATGTCTGAATATTTTACAAAAAAGAAGCCTTTGTATCAATCAACTCAATTCATGATAATAAATATGTCCACAAATTCTTTTCAATTCTATCTTTTTCTTATTATTATTATCACTTCAATGTTTTTGTTGTTGTTGTTGTTTTTTCCTCTGTTATTGTTGTTAAGTTCAGTCTTAATTTACTGCAAATGAATGAACAATTGAATAAATTAAATAAATAAAGAGAATTTCACTTGATTAAATTATCAAAAGGACCTCTATATCTTTCTTTTTCTTTTCTCTTATTCTGGATGTAAAGTATTGTTGGTAAGTCTCTAGTGATATACATATATATATATATATACATAGTTGAATAAAAATCTTAATATGTTCAATCAAATTTAATCATGATAGTAAAATAAGAGAGAAAATCTTTTGGAGAGTAAAAGTAATCTGAATGAAATAATAATGTATAAAAAAAGTATATAAGTCAGTTAACCTCAATCACCATCATCATCATCATCATCACTATAATCATCATGATGGAAGCGAAAAAGAAGGAAGATGAAGATGATAAATCAGAAAGAAATAAGTATTTCTTTAACCAGAAAACTCTTACTTGTGCAATCAAATGTATATAAGTAGTATAAGTATTAAAGAAAAAACTGACATTCTGTTATTATTTGATTACTGGATATGTAATCTTCTTGAAAGAAAAAAAAAGAATTCATTGGGTTTGTCTTGTCATACTACAACAAATATATGTATGTATGTATGTATGCGTTGAACAAGCAAACAATCAAATTGTTAAGAATAACTACAAATTGACAAATATAAAATCAAAATAAACCCTAATGAATTTCTTAGACTTAGAAACACGCATATTTTCAAGACATATGCATTTGTATAAACGTAATAATGAAATACAAATAAATAGGATGAAATTAGTTCATCCCTATGATTGAAACATACATAGTAATGAAATTGTAATCAACTTTTGTGATATACTTATATGTATGTATATGTATCTATGTTAGTGTTTTACGGTGAAAATCCTATACAAGTGTTTAATCACGTAAACAAAAATTTAGTTTGATGAGTAGGGGAAAAAATAGAAAACAATAATAGAGGAAAAACTTCCCATTTGGTATATTTCAGTTGTTTTTACTCATTTTCTTGTTTATCCACTATTTAGCTTCTAAGTTATCTAGTGTACAGCATCGAAATGATGATGTAGCATTTAGAGTTAGGAGGTGAAAAACGCAAGATCACTTCTTAATTCAGTGTGAAATAGGTTTTGTTTAACGTCCATTTTACTTTAGTGTGATATTGCTATAACTGTGATACTGCAGATTAGAGGACAGCGAATTATCGATCGGACCAAAGATGCGAAAACACGCACGAACGATCTAGGGCTCCGATTGGTCCCGCTTCCCTGTCAAGCCCAGCCAGTTGAGTCCAGAACACAAGTCTCAGCCTCTGAGATATGAATCATTATATTTCAAACATACTCTGTTTATATACCAGTCAAGCAGACCACATCGTACCATAAAATAGAAAATAACATAGTACAACATTGACCAGTAGTAAAATGACACGTGAAATAAACATTGACCAATAAGAAGACAACACCATCTGAAGTCCAAGGACAGCGTTAGACTTAACAGAATAATTTTGGGGAAATTTTTCTGAATATGCCAACACTGTTGAAGCAAACCATAAAAATTCTTGACGAGTAGCTTACAACTTTCTTATCTAAGATAATAATTACCAAACCTTTTATAGATAGGAACCAAAAATATATGAAAAATTCCACCGGTCAAGGTGATCCGGAATAAATGGTAAGAATAAATTATATTAGATGAGTTGCTGATGGTATCTGGCCAACGAACATTCAGTATCTTGCACAGACAATCGTTTGTAAATACTTGTACATTTTTGATGATGGTTGTAGTAGTTCTTCAAGTTTCAACCACGTACAGTATAACTAACTGTCTTAACGTTCGTATTGAAGATTCTGACTTTGATGTTGTTTGACAGTTGTTTTGAGTTCCATATATTCTTCAATTGTAGAAATGCTGTCCTTGCTTTGCCAATCCTTGCCATTACATCTGCATCAGATATTCCACGTTCATCGATGTTGTCCAGATATATGAGATTTTTCACCTCCTCCAGAGCTCCTCAATCAAGTGTAATTAGTTTGGTGCTCTCTGTTGTATTTGAAGATCTTGGTTACTCCCTTGTTTATGTTGAGGCCTACTGGTGCTACATTGGTTGTCTTAATATGCATTTGTTGGTGTTTATGGGATAGAAGAGTTAGGTCATCTGCGAAGTCAAAATCGTCTAAACTCATTCAAGCCGTTCATTCCATTACAAGCTTCCACTTAGTTGTGGAAGTCTTCGTAATCCAGTCAACCACCAGAATAAAGAGGAAGGGTGAGAGTAAGAAGGCTTGTCCATCACTTGAAATGCACCTGCACTGCTGTCTTACATTCACGACTTTGCAGTGTAGTTCATCACAAGAATTCCCTATTATGTTCGCAATTTTCTCAGGTACACTAATGTTGAAGAAAGTTCCATAAGGTTCCACTATACACGATGTCAAACACTTTCTCATAGTCAAAGAAATTGTACTAACAGCAATAGTATAAGCCTGAAAAATGTACTTTGTAATATGAAAATAAATACACACAACACAACCACAACCAATAAATAAATACATCATAAATACTTCAGGTCAGAGATTATATCTTTCGATATAAGGACTATTTTCAGTCTATTAAATAAGACTGCATCATAAAATAATTTCTTTAGAAATATAACTCGACAAACACTTCTTAATATTATCTTTAATACTTTGTATGGAAGCACGCTTTCTACATTGATAGCAATACAACCTCCGCACTGGATTATTATAAACGAAAAACAGGATTGTGTTCATCTGATATCACAAAACGTCTTAACTGTATCATCGATGAAATTTTGCAGGCAACGTTGTCTTAATGCGTTGATAACATTTAGAATAGTCATAATGCAATTAATCAACCAGCACAATACTAGTTAACAACTATGACAAGAACTTGTTCTCACCTCTACCACTAAGCTTTAATGCGACTAAATACATGTTATTCTCTCTATTCCCAAATAAAAGAATAAACAATACAAACCGGAATACCCATGTAAAATAATGACCTGTCATTTAAATAAACAATATTTACAAAAGAAACTTTTATTTATCAACATAACTCGTAATAAATATACATAATACATCTTGAGGATTTAATATTTGTTTTATGTTAATGCTACCATTCCATCCCAGAGCCTAGAGCATCTTCTATATATCGTTTGTAGATCGCCATAAATGCAATTACAAAGGCTTCCAAATGAAAAATCGGCTTCTGGCCTAAATTCAATCGATGTTCATATTCCGCACCCAATTGAACCAATTCCAGTTTTAAATTACGATCACATGAATTTAATAGATTGTCAACCAGACCCTAATAAATAAAAGAATAAAAATGTATGAAGTACCTTTTTCTCATAGAAGCGAACGTATGAAGTTAACTTTAAAAAATAAGACTACCATTGTGTATTGTTCTAAGCTGTTTTGAGTGAGAGTATTATTCAGTTGCTGAAACCAACATGGGCAAAACGCGTTTCGAACTAATGACCGGATAGTTGGAAGTTAAATGCTCAAACCGCTCTAATATAACATTTTTATTCCTAATATGTTTCTTTCCCAAATTACTTCTTACCCATACACGTAGTACAGAACAATCTCATTTTCATCTTCCTTGATATCAATGAATAATAATAGTAATTAAAGAAAAGGAATGTAAACCTTAAAAATATTCGTAAGAAATAAACTAGATATCATTATCAGTAGTATTACCAAGATCTCCATTATTTTATTTAGCATACTTCTCACATTCATTTTTATGATTACTCCAAAATACTTTTGATCTAATCAGATTAGAAAGTCATTAACATATAAACATGTATAAATGAAATGATCATAATACTTAACCAAAAACCTATGTTCTTGAAAAAAAAACAATATTGCCTAAAGATTAATTTACCTTAAGGATTTTAATTATACTGACTTAACGAGACACAGAAAAATAAAATTATCAGCTCACTAACTGATATGCCTACCACATTATTCACTGATGCACACATGAATCGAGATATGAATATAATAAAACGAAATAACCCACTTATTTGACAAAATAGCTTAAATGAGCGATTTCTAGGAAAATATTTCTAAGAACATCAATTAATGGATAACAACTTTAACCATTCGATTCAATCGATAAACTCCAGGTCCACAACCACTGTGTCCGTCTCCAAACGTAATCTTTTGGGATAGTTAGTTTCATATAAAATGTGTTATCAACAGCTCATTACACGGTTAAACATATGACTACAGAAACGAAGTAAAATACGAGTTTGTCAAAATAATAAGCTGATACCAGTAGCCTCATTTACGTATAACCTTTGGTATATTGAGTATGTACATGAGTAACATGAATATTAATCTCAAATGAAATTTATCGAAGTTTAACTAAATAGATAAGGGAAGTTAAGTCTGAGTCCCAGATAAAATATCAGAAAACTTCAACTGTTTGATAGAAAGTGTCTAGAAATACTGACTTGAGTTTGACGGAATATTTCAGTAATCAAAACTGAGATAAAGAGAACAGTTATACCAGAAAAATCGCTCATCTTTGTCATGTCAAATGACTGAACAAGGTGTATGTGATCATAAGGAAATGCTGTATCAAAATACAAAAATTAATTGTGAGATGTGGTTTTGTGGTTAGAACACTCGGATTTCAACAAATAAGTGATCGCAGGTTCGAGACCCACTTCACTCACTCCGGTTTATGCAACTAAATAGTATTAATGCAGCTCACATGAACAATGTGCTTCGGAAAAGTACACTGTAAACTAGTAATTCATAAATAAGAGACATTCTTAGAAAAAAAATCAGACCTTCATATAAAACAAATTCATAGAGGTTTTAACTATTGAAGTTATTTGTGGACAGAACAGTAACTATTTTTGTAGAAGCTTGTGCAAAAGTGAAAACCATTAATTGAAGATCGATAATTCGGGTGATGTAAAAGTTCTGGTTCAGTTTACTCTTTACATAGATAGTGAACATATTATTATTTTACTGTTAATGATACCCAGTTACCAGATTTACTAATTTATAACACCACTACCCAAGTTCATAAACTTCGTATTTATATTTCCTGATACATATAACCGTTGGTCAATTCCATCATATCTGATCATAACGGCGTTTTAAAACAACACCCTTCAAACTACACTTTCCACAGGACATATTAAAATCCTAAACAATACGAGTTCATTTTGACAAACACAACACATAAAGTTTACTTTTGAAACTTTACTACTTAAATAAATTTCAGTAGCCATTAATGCTACTTGTAATTTTAGCGTTGTAGTATTTCCCGACTCAAACAGATCCACAAAAATATATATCCTCATAAACACATTAGTAGTTAAAATTTTCCATACAGATATTCTTCAAAAAACTGATGTTATGTCCACTTTTACGTTTGCTTCAATGTTTTTTTCAATAGTGGGTATAGTAGGATCAAGTTGTTATGTTTGCATTTTAAGATTTGTCCCAGAACCCTTTCAAAAATACGAGTCATCTTTGGTTTTGGTTAACTTTCAAATACTTGGGTCATAAGAAAGTTTAATTCCATAAGCGAATTCAGGAATAAATCATTTAATCTTAACAAAAACTTACTCTCATGATAATGTTGGGCGGAATACAATGACATAATAATTCATAAAGACGATTGCGGACTTCTAGTATTCTGTAGAGAAAAAGATTTGAGAAAGTTCAGCCATTAATATATGACACAGAGAATAGTAACCCAGAGGTATGTATGACTCATCATCTACGCACTAAGTAGTAGGATTTTAGTATAATCAAAACTACCGTCTAAACATTAAAAAACAATGGACGGAACAAAGAAATATCTTTCTCAATTAGCTTTTCCTCACAGCTCAACATTAATCCATTAGTACTAATCAAGTGATGGTGAGTTGGTTAAAAGCATTAGAAATTCAGAAGTATCTATGAAAATAATTAAGAACGAATTAAGGAATTCATTCGAGATGAAAGATAAATAGGTTTGATGTACTATTCAAATGTATTACTTAATAAATGAGTTGTTATAAAAATAAACCGGTGAAACAGTTATGAATTACTCTTAAGTTGGATATTAATCATAGTTCTGTACGAAAAACTAGACGAATATCATTCAAAGTTATGTAAAGAAAAACGAGGTAACAAGTGTAATTCAACAAGAGGGATAACAGATAATTTCCAAAATACTAGAAATCATTGAACAAAAGGTTAAACAAAATCATAAGCCACAATGACCAAACTATTCAGTGTGGTTGCATAAGTTTTATTTGAATAGAAAGGTCTAGTTTGATCAGATGTGTCACGATAATAACTAGTTTTGAGGAAGCAGTTGAGGTGTTTGGTGTACATAGAGACGGATTTAGGAAGACTGCTTTCATTATCTTCCTTTAGGATCATCGGTTGTAAAATATATTGTACAGTTTGGCTGCAATAACGCTTTCCTTGAAGTTTTTGTATCCGCTGAGTAACTATACCACTGGCAGCCACAGCCAAGAACTCTAGTTTATAAGGTAATATACACTATTAAATAATGGGATTTCACCCACGCGAATAAGTCCACTAACATAGTTGTTGCATATGTTAACGGTCGACAGTCCCGTACAAAGCTAACTCGTTCCCAATCCACCAATCAGATTATCGAGAAGACCATCTAAATGCCTGGAACACATTTTAATATCCAAATTCAAAAACTTACATGATTATATGTATAAAATGTAAAACCATAAGACATGTGTAGCAAATGGTAGTGTGTACGTAACTAAGCTATTCTTTGAAAAAAGTTGAATAACACAGCCATTACTTAATTAGGCATAATTTCTGAATAATAAAAGATACGGAAAAAACCGAGGAGTCAAAGAATAACTTACAACCAGAGCTAAATAAAAACACCATGGATCAGCTGTCCGATAAATAAGCAACAAAAATATACAAACTAATCCCCTCGAAAACAATTTCCCAAGTTTCTCTGACTGTTCCTAACAGTACAAAGCTACTACAGAATGCTAATCTAAAAAATATCACTCAACATTATTTTTCTAAACAACTCCAAATGACTGCGGACAATGAGTAAACTAGGGATGGATCTATTCTAAATTCTGAAATGCAACCTACTCCAACTTTTTAAGACTTTATATTTTAAACACAGACACTGAGCTCTGAGTTCGCTGCAATAAATCAAAAAGGATAAAAGAGGTTTAAATAGTGAAGAAAAATGTCCATGAACCAGGCACTTCTGACGATTCCAATTGTTTGACCTTTGCTTAACAAGTTCCCAGCGGAACTTGGATTACGAGTGAATACTTCAAATAAGAAAGTACTTTTTCAAACATCAAAATGATTTGTTTCATAGGAAACGTCTGTAGGTTACAAAATTGTAGTTTGTTTTCAGTTGCATCTTGATCTAATTATTTAAGAGGGAATTGTTCTCTTGTGACTCCCTTTTAACTATAACTAAATACTTTTGATTAACAGTGATGCTGATTGGATTTAGTGGAAACACAATATACACATTTATAAGTTTTACTGACATGCTGACATGTAATAAGAGATATTGTTCAGTAAGTAAATCCATCGTATAACCCATTCTTCTGTGGTGTTGATAATTTCTACATAGGAAGGTCTCAAAGTAAAGCAGTTTGTTAGTGCTCGTAATCGTTGAACGAAATGGAAATTCAATCAATTTATGAAATGGCACTATGGAAACAAGGTGTTTCCTAACGCGATGCGACTTCATTGATTGGATAATATGAAATACACAGATCAGTAGTTTGAAATACGGTTAAGCATAAATCAAGGTATAAAGAAACGGATTTATAATGTAGCCGTGTATTGCCAGCAACCGACAGCGACACAAACTTCATTTGAATAAGGCCTATGTATATACATACAGCACTTACTTCTTCGGACTTTGTTCCGCCAAAATAGCTGATGCTGTCTCAGTAAGAAAAACTTGCCAGTCAGGTAACTGCACACTTTGGTCTGGAAGCATGGGGCAATGCTGCCACCTAGCTACCTCAGCATACAAAAGAGCTCTACGTAGGTTCCGTTCGGATGCTAACGCGATACGCTTAGCTAGTTCAACCGGCATTGAATGGCCTTCTCGGCGAGCGGTATTTTTCAAGATTTCAACAATTTCATCGATAGATGGGGCAGAAACTCTTATTGGTAGACATCTTGAACGAGTAGCAGAAATGATCTGAAAAATAAATAACCACGTGATGTTGCTTAATAAAGAATATACTGTACAAACACAGTTGCCACATAATAGACACTATGACGCAAGCAGCAACGAAAAACATTACTTATTCGGCTTTAAAAATTGCATACATGATTAATTTTCCAAGTACGAAACTATAAACTAATAAATTCCAAATTAGAAGTTAAACTATACTATGAGCCCCAGTAAAATGGATTAGCGATGTTGATGACAAGCACTACTCCTAACCTCTTTATTACAGTGAATAAACAAAGAATCAACACTATCATACAATCAATGTATCACTAGTTCAAGCAAAAGGTTCATCTACAAAACACAACACTTCACGTAAAGATACTATGTCAGATTTCACCCTTACTGACTAAACTGACTAAACATAAACAAACACATTTAACTATGAAACAATTTTAAGTAAACAGTCAAACCACGGCGAAATTGGTTACTATCCTTAACTAACTATAAATAGTATTGATCTAGTTATCATTTTTGAATGTCAAGAAGAAAACCACTTGCTGCTACAACAAGCCGTTTAAACTGTAGATCCAGCATATTTATTTTAGATTAGTGACCGGAAAATTTCGGTATTTTCTCTTAACTACTCAACCTAACTAAGAAATTATTAAATTATTAACTTAAAGCATGCCTCCAAATGCCCTGGTACAGCCGAGAGTGGGGAAGGTCCGCTATCCCTCTCGAAATGCTCTCACATGAGCACACGTATATAGTCTCCCAGGGAAGTCCTACTCATCGCCTTCTCGCAGAGGGGGTGTTGTTTACGAAATTGAGAGGACGACAAGCGAATGTCCGGCGTTTTAACAGGGATGATGGACACAGAGCATCCACTTACAGAAGTTGGAAAACCCTGATTTCAAACCAATGGTGCACATGGGCTCCAGTATCCTGAAGGAACAAATGGCGTATGAACCAACCGTTGGCCACTGGCTACCATGGGACTGCATCTCCTTACGATGCTCCACTGCCCTTTGGATCAGTCCTTCAGGTCGAATGCTCGGGAAGTGACCCTATAAGAAAACCACCTGCTTCGGTTTGGGCACCCAGGCAGTATCACAGCCCTCACACATATCAAATGAGATTTGTGTGGCGCATATGTATTTGGTGCCTCTTTGTACCAATATCTATGCGTTAAAATAAATAAATAATAAACTTAAAGCATATCACTGAATAAGGAAGCACCATGTTATGAAACCGATTTCAATAATACAACACCATTAACCTTGTATTATACCACAAAAAATCGAATGTAATGTACTAGTTTTATTTGCTTAACTCTTGTTGATCACTCTACTTCTCAAATCGAATCCTATTTACAACGATTTGAAAATCGAAGGATAGAATGGGGAGAGCATACAATCACAACTACAGGACAGAACTAACCTTACTGGTAGATTCCGCTGACAATATTAGACGGCAAGTGGATATGTACTTTTCCATAGTTCTACGCAAAGCATGTTGTGCGTCACGTGTTAAATGGTCCGCTTCGTGCAGAACTACTACTTTGAAATCTTTCTGTTGCCCACTGTCAAGCTGAGCTGTTGATGCCATACTTTTGATTAACTCTTGAATGACGATTCGGTCGTAAATTCCAACATCGCTGGAATGAAAGTAAACGACAAATACTAATATTATCGATAGCAATTACAGATTAAAACAAACGAAATGTGACTAAAATCGCTGGACTAACAGGTTAGGGATATAAGGACGTGATGTTTACGTCAACTTATTAATTTCAATTCTTTGGAACTAACTACCGAGGACTAGTAAATTTACGGTGATCTCATAAAACCACTTGAATAAGTTATCATTTTCTACCTATAGAACTAGGTTACTGTTGAAAGAAGCGTCAACAGATCCATCAAACTGAATATAGACGGTCGTGAAGATATAGAATAAATATCGGATAATGATAATATTGACAAAGAAAAGAGTGGAATAACTTGACCGAAAAATATCCCCATTGTTTCGTTTTACAGTTCGCTGTGATGATTCCTAAGAGTTTATAAGATGTCAGTTCAGCAGTTCAACTTACTATCATACAAAACACTGAAAATAGTCACAAAACAGTTTAAACTACGAACAGTAATAACCTGAATTTCAAAGTCAAATTTTCGAGTCTCTAGAACTCCAAACCGCAATTTTTCAATTATATCTCATTTCCATCAGCATTTGAATGAAAGTATATATAGTGATGTTCGACGTTTTGTCTGAGAGTGGTACTTGGATCCAGTGATTGAGTCCTTTTTCACTAAGAGGTGCTAAGTATGTACATTTATCTACTGAATAAAATTCCGTTCGATACTCTTAGCTGAGTCACGGCTTACAAAGGATTATTGTATGAAGTGCATATAACAGGTGATATTCATCTGGGTTGCTCGATTTCCTCTTATTTCATCACAAAAATACGTCTAAAGAAACTTTCTGACTTAGCTGACAATTTCATATTTAGACGCATCGACTGGAAATCAAAAAACTCAAAGTCAATTGCATTAGTGGAGACGAACTTATTCTTCAGCATCAAATTTATTCTACCATATATTTTTTTCGAATTTATTTGGTTTGTTTATTTTCTACATTTACACTTCCAGTAACGTATTGTGATGGCATTTTCAGGGCGAACCCTGGAGTAGTAGAGGCAGTGATACTGTTAGTAATAATAGAACAGATTAAGGATCAAAAACACGTTATAAAAAATTAAAAGTTGGAGTATCAGAAATTATGAGATCCAGAAACATAACATCTAAGGGAAAACAAATAGTAGATACAACTGAACCATTGAAAAATTTTCAGCCGTCATTCAAAGTCCGTAACTATTAGAGTCCGCGTGGTTGTAGCCAATGATTAGAGACTTCGCGTGACATGACTCTTCGATGTCTAACCTGTAAAACTAGACATTGGTGACAAATACGAGTCACGAAATCGTGTGTAGACAAAATTCATCAATAATAATTACTTATTCCAACAGATGTTTTAGTCTAAAATCTGAAATCTAACCGTCGTCCGAAATGAAATGTAAGACCAGTAGATCTAGGGTACGACTTGAGATAGTGTTTGCGTAGTTAACACCAAGTCGTGAATAAGAACTAGAAAGCGCTCGTAAGTAGTAAAGATTCAGCTCCCTAAAATTTCAGTTTATCAAAAATTAAAAACAGTAAGGTCTTTACATAAAAGTACCTAGGATTTACTTCCAAATGAAAGTTACTCGAAACTGTGGATAAGCTGACTTTCTTGTTTGAAGGATTTGTGAAGGTATGGTGTTCCATTCTTAGTCGATCAACGCCTGATCCATACAGCTCACGAAGAATACACATGATTCTAGTTCGCTTCCCTGCACCAGAAGGTCCATACACTAGCAAGTGAGGAAAGTTGTTGCTATCAACCTAAAATTGAGATTTACGTCACTGAAGTAATCGTCACTTACTAATTTTTTCAAATTTTTGGCTTGTCTTTTGTGGTAATCCAACTTCCCCAATGAAGTAGGAGTATATTTGTCAACCCAAAGACTCATTCCCCGAAATTTCAAATAACCGTCAAGGTTGGATGTCAGAATAGGTCAACCCAACCAAATGAAAATAATTTCCGACACAAAGACTAAGTGTCGAACATACTTTGAAAGGAATTTTTGTAAAACATTCTGCACTTGTCTTCTAGGTTGTTCTTCCGCCTTTCTGACTTCGAGTGATGTCTTCTTAAGTATCGTTTTGTGACCGAGTGTTTTCATTTGTTAGAAAGAAAATAGTTAAGAACGGCACTATAATATTAACCCTATCCTTCTCGCATTCAGAAGCTTCAATTTTTATGCTTTTTAGAGAAGTGAACAGGCTTGTTTTGTCCTCCAAATGACAGCCAGCAGGAAATGCATAGAAAACCTTATCGTAAGACTAGGTCATGTCTTGGTAAGTTTCTATAGACGGTTCATAACAGAATGCTCGTCCCTTATGAGACCGCTAACCGCCCAAATTCGTGGAAATGCAAAATCCATCAACTTGGACAATACCGCGCGACAAGCATTCTCCACAGTTAAGGAACACCTAGCAAACGCAACGATGCTCACACACCAGGACACTCGAGCGCCGATTAGCATCGCTGTAGATGCATGTGGCTCAGCAGTCGGAGGAGTCTTAAAATGATGAGTTGAACACTCCAGGCGACCTTTAGCATTTTTCTCGAGATGGTTGCTATACACTGAGTCGGTAGGGAACTCCTAGCTATGTATCGTGCTGTACGGCATTTCCAACATTATATCGAAGGCCGACACGCACGATGATTCTTCAGCAGTATCTGAAAATGAACTTAAAACAATGCTTTCTGGAAGAAGATTAAGATTTCCAGATTAGATCAGACGATCCTTGATATCTTGATAGCCTATCAAATATATCTTCGAACCTCCTCTCTTCTGTCTTTTTATTTTACTAGGTGGGTACGATTCATATTAGGTGTCGGTGGTTAAAGCGTTGTCAAACTCCAAATACTGTGGTATCTTCAGTCTGTTTCTGGCAGGAAAATTAATAGCCTGACCACCCTATTCATCAACAATCATCTGGGATTTCATAGAGTGTGTGGCACGGCTGTGATTGCTACTTCATTGGAAGTCGATGACTTGGTACAGATTGAGAATAATAAACAAAATAATGTTACTAATGAAAAGCCATTCCCCAGAAAGTAATTGAGAAATCGAAGGCTGATCACAAAGACAGGTCAGCTATCCTTCGTGGAGTGAAAGAAATTTAAAACCAAGAACCTAAAACTCATTTTGAGCACGCCATTGATTTGGTAAAACAATTACCTGAACAGCTAATGCCTCAGAATATCTCCAGAGTCATCTTCCTAAGCGTCTATGGAAAAGGTAGCCAAATGAACGTGCAACAGAACCAAACCAGTCTGCTAAAAATAGTGTTAAAATCTCTCAATGAAAGGGGCCTTATACTACTAAATGGACATAAACTAAAGTGGTCAAGAGTTTTTGTGCTTAAAGACTTTCCGCATGCTTGCGAAAAAAACCTAAAAATTGTGGATTTACTGATGGTGAGGCTTCGACAGAGAACGATGCTGAAACCGTTCCGGGTGCAGTACGAAGCCATTTTAATGGGTTTCCAATCTGTTACACAAATGCCCGAGACTTTCAAAATAAGCGGTCGTAGCTAAATGTGCATATTGAATCTACCATGCCAGATGTAATCGCTGTTACAGAAACTTGATTGACGCAGTCTATAGACAGTATGGGACTTGGTTTTATAGGTTTTTCATCAGTAGGAGCCAACAGAGTACAGAAGCGTAAAGGTTAAGAAGTAGCTTTATTCATTGAAAATACTATCCCATTTACCGTTGATAATGACACGTCTCATGAAAGTGGAACATGTGAATTAGTTAGTTGCCTCTTGAAATGCAAAAGGAAAAACCTGCTGATTGATTTGGTCTACTGCAGTCTAAGCTGCGAGGTGAAATATGTCTTGCTGGGCGGTCTCAAAACTTGGTCACAAAGTGATTGGTGCTTAGTTCTAGGAGAAATTAATGCATCTACGGTAGACTCGAAAAATCTGAGTACTGAAATGTCAGAAACTCCGTTCGAACAGGAACTAGTTGATGCGACTATCACATATACTATGGTGCAAAATAAGAAGGAAACAATTAGGTACGACCCGGACTCCGAATCATCCTTACTAGATCTCATATTGACAGATTATTAGGATGATGTTGCGAACCTCGATTACATGCTAGCCCTAGGTAAGAGTGATCACGCAGCTTCAATCATCCGTATAGTCGCCATAAACAAGCATGTGTCAGTTCAACCCGGACCTAACGTACCAATTCTATTACGTCGCCATCGTAGTCATTAGACAATTTTCGAGTCGCCTTTGCCAATGCGAAATTTGCACAGAAGGGTGAGGTTACTGCTCCGAAAAGGTGTGATGCCATCTGATAGTCTACAGGTTAGTTCGCGAGATCACACTTTGGCCGCTAAAGAGGGTCTCAATATTTCAGTAGGACACGTGTATCCATAACATTGAAATTATTAATACTCAATGCAATAGTTGTTAATATGTCAAATAATTTCAGTTCTTCATAATGATTACGAGAATAATAAAGAAGAACGAAGATTAACAGAATTTAGTGTGTGAGAGTAGGACAACGATGAAATACTGGAGAAGCAGGTAAGTTAAAAAACAATAAGAATGAATACTTTCAGTTAAAGAAGTTCCCCTCACTTTAATGAAGAAAGTGAAAGTTTCGGCAGGATACCCATTGGCTTTGATTCCTAACCATCTCTGATTATGTCTCAAGCCACTGCGTTGTACCTTTTCTAGGATCCCAACAACAGAGTTGTGAAGAACCGACAGAAGCCAATCCTCTACAACCTTCTTTCATACCACGACACCATGTCGTACACTTTACACTTCTCTGTATTTTCTAACCGGTCCCAAAATAAGCAAATAATGCACGACGTGGAACTCGTTTTGACAACATGTTTTACGAAAACAGTCATTATCACCATAACTGTATGTAAGTATGTATGTATGTATGTATGTATGTATGTATGTATATATATATATGTATGTATGTATATATGTATGTATGTATGTATGTATGTATGTATGTATGTATGTATGTATGTATGTATGTATTTGGAATAATGAATTCAAATATCACATTAGGTGTCTATTCAAACGTTTGGACTATTGGCTATAACAAGATCACTGCATTTAGATATGATTATAATTTGCTGATGTAATAACCAAACTACACCGTAGTTGCCAGTCATAAAAGTCCTTAAAATTGAAGCCGTGCAATCCAATAATCAACTTTATATCCAGTGAACTAATATTTCTGTCTCGTGAAAAACTCAGATTCATTAACTTTTTACAATCATGTAATATTCCTGACATTTCTGAATCTTTAAACATAGATTCGGTACTAAGAACAAACGGAATAAATATTCAGTATACATAACAGGTACTGACACCCCAATGTAACAAAGTCACCATATTGGAAATCGAAAATATTTGGGCCAACTCATTACCCAAGTATAGAAGGTTGTGTGAATAATAGCTTGTTAAGGAATCTGTAGGATACCAGATACCGAAGGACAAGACGGGATGAGAGATCTCAGCACTACATTGAAATGGTGATAGTCCATTGCCATTAGATGGCTGTGATAAGGTCTAGGTATTCTGACACCGCTTCAGCAGCGTATATACTGTAGAGATGCCCTTTCCTCGGGTACAAATGACTCGTTCTATCCACACTCCTTACAATAAGACTATGAGATATTCTTGGCCTCTAAAACAAATTAGGTAATGTCGATTCTATGAAAATCGATTAAATGTAGCGTTGATAACAAAAGTAACTTACAAACTACAAACCTTTAATCACATGCTTTAGTCTATCTATAACCCAAAGTAGAACAACAAGCTACTAGAAGAATGCCACAGTTACCTCCGTCTTCAAAAAAGATGCGACTCATAAACCTGCGAGTAACCAGTTCATGAGATTAAACAGATTGGTTGCCAAGATTCTACAAGAGATTATCCCCAATGTGTTGTGCATTTATGTGATCTAAAGCTACCAATAGATGTAGCGTTCACCGATTTCAGTATGATTTTTGACGACGTTCTATGAGACAAGTTTTTACTTAGGTGATAGGGGATTTTCAGATAAGTAATTTGTTTATGTAAATGACTCCGTAATTCAGCACCAACAACGAGCACGGGTTAATCACAAGTTGCTCCACTGGAAAAAAGTGCTCAGTGGGGAGCCTCAGCAAATTCATGGGAAATGTATGATTTGGCTTACATTTAAATATCCTTTCTTGTATCCTATGATAATCGGTTTCGTTGTGTGCCGAGGATATCAAGAGTGGGCAACGAAAAATGAGGGAGATAGTTTAGAGCTTCAGAATGATTTGCAGAAATAATCAAAATTGCCCAGAATTTGATATTCCTCGATAAATATTTCTAGATGTATGATGATTAAAATTGGTCACCGAGACACAAACACATATACTGCGAATATTATTGAGCTACCTACTGATTAGGCACAATAACGTGGTGGTCATTGTCAGTCAAGATTTAGAATCAGTACACAGTGTTATACATTCATTCATAAAGGTCTTAGAACTCCCTAGAAAATACGTAGAGCCTTTAGCCACGTAACTGTCAAGATAGTTTTCATTTTGTAGGCACAGGTGTTACATAGAAGCATTTGGCTTCCGCTATAAGTAAACAGTGAACGTTTGTAGAAAGTTCAAATAACAGAAACTAAGTTGAGTCTCTGAAAGCTGCTGTATGACGAGAAAATGGCTAAACTAAGCCGTCAGAGAAAGACGACTTTTAAGATACCACAGGTATTTGCAGTTTAGCAACACTTAACCAGTAACATTCATAGTTGAATCGTGCTCACCCAATGAAAAAGTCAGAAGGGAGTAGGTTCGAAGATATATTTGATAGGTTATCGATATATCGAGAAGTGAGTGATTTAAACTGGCTAACAGTCGCAGGAGGAGTTTAACACGGCGTTCTCACTCGTGATCTGCTGCGAATGCATGACCAAGCGTCTTCAGTTAGGTGAGTCCATTAAAACTAATGTGGTCAGCATTAAATGTCAATGACTTATAGTGCTATTGAATTTGGGGATTTATTAACCTCTACAACTTAATTGCGATTCCAAGCAGTTAAGCATGTGACATGCTCCAAACCTTCGTATTCTCCAAAATGGAGAATCTGTGAGGGAGTTTAAAAGGGGTTCACAAGCCAAGAACAAACTGCGTATCAGCTACCTACCAACTTTTTTCTTAGAATAGTTGTTGAGTGGAAGTCTTTACTTCACTGAGAGATTTAAATTTGATCTGTCAATATCTTCAAGGAAAAGTTGGATCGAATAGCAAATCTTCGTCGTCAGAACCAATATAAACCATTCAGCCTCCTGTCCATTTCAAACTGGAAATGAAACATCAAATACTTCACAACCAAACTAGTAAGCATCAATCCAGATTGAAGACACAACTCCACCATTTTTTTAATTTGAATAGCTTAGCTTTTAGGAGTCCAACGTTAAACTGCGTTTCTGAAAACCACTTTGTTTGTTCATTTAGTACTGTAGGCCTTTCAAATGACCTTTACGAGCGCTTAGTATGGCTATGTGAAATGCCGTCACTAATGTTTGTTGTTCATCGTTAACTATTTTTGTGCTTACATAGTGTCCATTGTTGCACGTGGAACGTCGGTGATGAAAAACCAGGAAGCGAAGACCTCTCTACCCTTCTTGGAGTTAACGCAAAACCATCACCCGATGTAATAAGCGTTGCGTAAGTTCTCTGTAAAGTTATAATTCACTTCGTAGACTTCAAGAAGTCTGTGGAGATGACGCATGGAGACAAAAGCTACTGGAACACTTGTATCCTCATGGTTATGTGCTGGTAATCATTGTGTTAGTGGCCGTCAACCTTGTAAATTCATTTGAGTAGATCAAGTCACGTAATTGTTGGGCCATTTGGATTTTTTCGTTTCTGAAGAGAAACCTTTTGCCTGCAGTCACAAATATTGAGTCCGAGGTAACAGCCTCAGGATATGCTGGTGTCATGGTTTGTTTGATGCTTAGACATATTTGAGGTTTTAAGGGAAATAAGGGCGGGGTTAGTGCGAGATTTGAACTTTGTGGGATAAACATGATCTTTCTTTCGTGTCATTTTACTGCCCATAGAGAAAACAAGCAAGATCGGTTAAATGTAAGCAGTTTCCTTTTTTGTTTATATCACAGGATTATATCGATATTATAGATCATCAGAGTTTTAGGGATGAAGATGTCAATGTCATCATTGATCATGAGTGAGTTATGTCTCGTTTTTGATAAATCCCAAAAGTTATGTTTTCTGGATGGGTGATTTAAATTTTCGTATCGATCACCTCAAAAAACCTGAAGTGGAGTTAATGGTCAAACAAAAACGTTTTAACGAACTTCTACAGCATGATCAAGTAAACTAACATACCATATATCTGTATTTTAGCTTCTTAATATGAAAAACGAAAAATTGTTATTTCATGATTTTAATGAAGGCACTATATCCTTCCCTCCAACCTTCAAATTTGACAAAGGAACGGATACATACGACAGTAGGTAATCACACATTTATTCATTGCGTTAACACAACTTGCTTCGTAGTTACTTTAAGTGGTAATAACTACTCCACTCCATATAATTAATTTAATGTTCTTGTCTAACCTGCATAACTCGTCCTGTACATAGATATATTTTGATTTGAGGCAAATTCTTCCTGGAGTATTAGTTTTGCTGGCTAAGAGTTTGAAATGTTTTCCCCATAAGTTTACAAAGAGTTTAAGATACCGCCAGAAAGAGTAAATCAATTTTCGAAGTTACAGTGGTAGCATCCGTCGTTTCTTATAACCGTTGGCCACGTGGAAAAGCATTTTAAGGAATTCCTTCAATGTTGGTTTGCTATGTTTGGATTGCTTTAATCATATTGATGTATTTTCGTAGTTGTGTTACGCTGTGGTATAATTACCACTTACAAACAAATAACTAGTTTGATATGAATTTCATCCCTCTACATATTAATTGTACTACAGAAATAAATTGAAGCGAGATCAACCTTATCTTTCTATAATGAATAGTTATTGAGTTTCAGTATGGTGACTAGTTTACATTCCTCACTACAAACGAAAGAAATTAGCTGAGTTTCTTGCTAGTTATATTTACGAAAGTTACTTTGTTTTATACAATTAAAGCTCGTAAAAATCAGAGTTGGTTACTTGTTACTCTGGGGAGGTCATCTACTGTTTCCAAGTTTAAAGTAGAAATTTCGAAAGGGAACTGATCCGATTGTTTAGAAGGTTTTGACATGTTTCGTTTTCTGGCCCCAAGAAGAAATCGTTCACTTAAATCATTTAATAAGTAAAGGCTCATATTCACGGCTTTGAGCTGGATGTTTTGCACGAGGGCTGTTGACAGATGTTATGCAATTATCCAAAAATAATTAGTTGGGGTGGGCATCGAATTTTCTGCCCTTGGGTCAAAAGTCAAGTGCTCTAATGTCTACCAACTCTATTATCATTTTGCCAACGAAAACTATTGTCTAGAACGTATTTAAACCTATACTATTATCTTATCGTAGTAAAAAGCAGCGCGTTCCTGCGTGGACAGACCGTATATTGTATATGGTTCACCGAGATTTCGCTCTTGATCACCACCTTAACCTCCCTGAAAGTGACCGACAGAGACCAGCTAGCCCATCCCGTCGATTACCTGTACGTGGGTCACCATCCGAAGTGGAGGAAAAGTTCCCAGCAAACAAATCTATCAAAGGGAGACAACACCCTGAGGCCGTTTTACTCAAGTATACTAGTTTGAATGAATACAAAACTTCGGATCATCGGCCAGTTATCGCAGTATTCAAATTATCTGTGCCTCCAAGATGGTTTAGCTTACCTGTCAAATTTATTGAGCCTGATGGCAAAGGTAGGAATTTTTACTGTGTTTCATTGATTTCACTCATATAATGTGTCCCATTTTTGAGTCTTGACTAATGATAGTTAATGTTACTCTAGTAATTCAGTACTTTCGCCTTTCATAAACCCCTCAATAACTTTACTTAACTAGCTGATGTAAGTGGTCGGTTTTGTGATCATAACTCATCACACTATTATTCTAACAAACAAAACTGTTTGTAGATCTATGATTTAATACTGATCAATATCTGTATATATTTTAAGTTGTGCTTGTTGAAAATAATACCATTAACGCAATGTCGTTTTGTGATGTGTAATATCGTTCTATTCATTACCATATGATTCGTACAAGATGGTTATATATATATATATATATATATATATATACAGCGTAGAATGAAACACTATGATATTCTTGTTTATTAACATGTGAAATTTTCAGACACTGGTCAGTGCTATCCTCGTGTGATACATACACTTTATCTGTCATTTTTTCGGGTCTGCAGCTGTTAAATTAATTATTGTATTATGTTAGCTAAAAGTGACGGGGATCATAATCGCGTACAGTGGTTCAAATACACTCACCCTTTTGTCTTCCTTTAGACCCTAAGTTTATTATATCTTTTCTAAAACCCATATTTCCTCGAAATATATTGTTTTCCTCTAATCTTTTCTATTAACGGTGATAGTGCTAATACTTTTATTGTTGTGACATCTCTGTGCTAATGTGATCTGACAACTTGATCCAGTACACACGTACCAGGCTATACGCTGTGTCTTACTGACTGAAAACAATTAGTGGACTTCCTAGATTTGCTGATTGATTAGCTAACTAATGTATGTTTCCACTTATTTTAGAAATATATGCCACGTATGCTTACTATAACTGGGTTATGAAAGCTATTTAATAAAATGATCTTAATGTAGTTGAATTTTGAGGTATTGCTTAAATAATCATTCGAAATCAAGTAATTTAAAGTGTGGTAAAACATTTCACTACAGAAGGAACTGTCAGTGTTCCGAGTTTGACGTTTGGATGCTGATCTAATTGAGTTGAAAGTCGAGTCCCAATCTCAGCATTTTGTGGTGACTGAAGAGCTTTAATGAATATTAAGCATCTAAATTGGTCCTCTATTAATGAACGTAACATGAACTGTCCATGCTCCCTGTTGACAATATTTGCCAAACCACCATAATCATCAGCAATATGTTTTACCAAATTTTGACACTGATTTTGAACATTAAATGACAAAGATGATTCATTGAATATCTCTAACAGTTGGTCTACCGTCTCCTCTGAAATGATCTCTCGAGGCTAATTCGGCAATATGTAGTCAGCGTAGCGTACGTGTTCGTTACTTTCTGACGTACGCATCAACTATTGAGTCTTCCACGCGTCATCTTGTTTACCGAATTCTATTCTAAACGCTTCTTCCCAACGCTTGCACCACGTGAGGACAGTATTTTCACTTTCTGGGTCAATATTGACTTCCGGGTATTTACTGGCAACTGGATCGCAAGAAGTAGTTAATAGCATGTAAACCCAAGCAGTGGATGTTAAGCTGCTGAGTCAGAGTTTCTAACAACCGCATTTATTCGTCAAGTCGTTCTTGCTGTTGTTGCCGAATTCGGTTGAGCTGGTTGCTTGATCCGCATCTTGAATGTTTACCTTTCCCGTCGCCACTCTTATAATCTCCCTTGTTACAACCCAACTACTCACTGCTTAGTATTCTTGGGACACTACTTCACTCGACAAGTCCCCAAACTAGAACACGGTAGGACAGAAGTGCAACTACATTCCAAATAATCCGGGTTGAACGGAAGTAGGAATCACAATAAAAAACTTTAATATATTTATAATTTTACACAAGAAGATCCTAGAGTGTTCCACAAATATTCGCTAGCGCTGATTGAGTGAGAAATGACCAATCAGCGTGCCGAAATACAAACCTGGACGGAACAAGTTTTAATCCAATCTATGTCCCGCTTATAGGAACATACGTACTTGTGAGTATACTTTGGGAATGGAAAGTAGTCATTATGAAAGCAAGCTCGTGCAAAATATATTGAAGTACTCCTATATTTCACTTATGATAAAAATCTGGCAGTATGTCGATACAGGTTTAAATCGAAGATGTGTCATACGACCACCACATATTCTTTGGAATTCAAATGGTTCATTTTTTCCTACTCATCTACCTGGTTACATTAGTTCACATCGACGTCATTCATCTACATATTTGATAGGGTTAATAGGGTAGAAAAAATGGTAGCGTTTCCTGGTATATAAAAGCTTGCTAGCAATTTGTTTATGACTTCAATTTTCGTTGATTATATCATGTTTGTACTGTTGTGTTTGAAAGAACTTCACTTGATTCTTATCTTCTAAATATTCTAGCATATTCATTCAATGCCAATTTGGAAATATCGTACCAAGTTCTTGATCCACCCGGCCTATTAAGGCTTTCAGAAACAAATTCATTACTTTCATCCAAACAATATGTTCCAGTATCTGATTTTGCCAAACTACTCTTATTAAATACACTAGGACACTCTTCAAAATCGGGAAAATCAGAAAGCACAAATGATGATGATTTAGGCCCACTGGCTCCACCAACTTTACAAACTACATCATTTGACTGGATAGCCCTTTACCCAGCAGAATTTGCAGATCTGGAAAAAGATTATATAACCTACGTTTATGCATCAAGTAATGTATCTCAAGCGAAGCATCGAAAAAATTCTGTTTCTTCCGCCCTGTTGCAGCCTTCAAATACAGCGAAATTTCAAGAGTTATATAAGGCTAGAATTGAATCAAGTCGATTAAAGGATTTACCTGGTCAATCATTTTGTCTTGTTTATATGAGTCGCAATAAGCACTGTCCTCAGGGTTATAGTTTACCTTTCAAAGTGAGTTTCTGGCGACTAAGTCAGTGACTATATACTGCATTTTATGTTTATCTAAAAAATGGTCATATTCGATTTGACCGATATAACTCTTAGCTAGTTCAACATAAAGTAAATTACAATTTGCTTTATAATCTTGGAGAAACGCTCGTTTACGTCTATTTTATAAGTGTTTGATAAATTAGAATACTCGATGTCGAAGTAGAATGTTTTATATCTTCGGGATTATGTCCATACCATGTGGGTTCGGAATTTTTGACCCGAATGTGTAGAAGTAGAAGCTCTAATTATCCAAACTGGAAGAATCAACAAATTAATGAAACTTCTGTAGGACCTCGACTACTTGTAGTCTCGACCAGTGAAACAACAATACTGTGTGTGATTGATCAACTTTTGCGGGTGAGATTTCATTTTTGAATGTAATCATTCCTTCTTGAATGTAACAATTGATTTACAGTTCTTGTTGTGTATGTTTGACTTTATTGTTGGAGTCCTTGGGATAATTCTATTGCGTAGCTAAGGGCTATGCTGCGTTGCTCAAAATCGGTAGCATTAGGAAAGATGCATTCATTCTTTATCTACTCCTGTCTTGACTTTAACACTTTTTCGTAATCTTGATTACCTATTGTCGTTCATTTGATTTAAATCGTATTCGTTAAATTCTGTTTCTACGCCATTGCCACCATATTTTTAGTCTCATTGTCAGTCTTGCTAGTTATTTTCTTTTCTATGCTGATGTAAAACGTGATAACGCATACCGATGTATATTTGTGGAAAACCCTAAGTTCTTTCTGTCCGTTTCTGTGATTGTAATTATATTCGCTTTTCCCTTACTACAAACAGTTTTACAACCTTTAAAGCCTTCAAAGAATCAAACCATGCTCCCGAAAATTGTAGTCCCAATTTATCATCCTTCCTATTTTTCTACCACTAAGTAACTGTTTTGTTAGTTATATTGTGACTTCAACTTTCAGTGAATTCAGTCTATTACGATACGTAAGCCGTTTACGTATGTTTGTGAGTGTACACACTACGTACTTATATAGTTATTGTCAGATCAGAGGCAACTTTATACGTATAAACACCATCCTGTATTTATGAAAGAACCATTTGCATATAATATAAAGGTAACTAAAATATAGCCTAATAATCTTGCTGATCTGTTAATCCCTATTATCAATCATATATATATATATATATATATATATATATATATATATATATATATATCCAAAGTGATCCTAGATTATTATACGTCTTCTATATGGTTATTAGTTTGTCTTTTGTATATGTCCTTTTTGATTTTATATCTATCTTATCTTACCTACAAGATAATTCTACTCAGCTTTTCACCTCTTTAACACACTCTTCATATCAGATTCGTACTGTAAGTTTGAAAACTTAGAATTCATTATATATGCATAACAATCTGATGAATCGGCTAACACGCTAATGATTATATACATACTCATTGTAGATACTTATTACACATCTAAAATAACCGATTTGTTACATTTTCTCACCTTTCACAACATAATATCGAGAACAGTATTTATTCACTGTGTTAATTCTTACTTGGTTTCTGTCTTTTCTATATACCCCTTCTTTGCTGTTATAAGATGCCGTAGCTTTGGTAATTACGCACATTTACCAAGTCGTATACCATTTTGTGTATATTAGCGTTCTCTTCTATACTTTATAATATACTACTTTAATTAACAAATATATGACACTTTATACAGTTATTGTTTTCTGTACATAATGTTTGACAATTAACACGTAATTATTTGCAAGTAAATACTGATCATTCTTTTATTTGTGAAAACTGTTTAACACCAATACTACTTAAAGTATATCACTGGTTCCATTAATCCTTAACCATTAGCCTAACTACATAATTTACTATATATTGTGGGTTTCTGCTTCTCGTTCTTCCTGTTTTCCGAAACCCTTTAAGTATTAAAAAACGACACATCATGTGATTGTCAAAACTAATATATTAAATAATTAAAAAAAAATTATATTTAATTCTTTATAGGTTAAAAAGTTAACGAAATTAAAGAAATTATTACCGAAATTTCTTTTGTCTAAAAGAAAACCATCGTAATAAGTAATTATAGTTGGTAATATTATCTTGTTGATTGTGTAGAATTTGTGTTATAAAAACTATATATAAAGATATCACTTTTGTTTTTAGCTATACCAAGTTTTTGTTTTTAATTTAAAAATGATTTTGTGTTGGTGATGGGGTTTCAGGGTTGATGATCTTATTTAATAAAATGATGATAACATGTCGAATCTATCAACTATATAGTTGATTCTTTTTGAAGCAACCTCAATTTTTTGTTATGGGTGATTGATGCACTTAAAATAATTGTGATAAAGCATTTCTAACTGTGTAGCCTAATTTTATCTACACGATTATTTCAAATTATATTAAACGTCATTAATCCATGTTAACTCATACTGAAAGTAACCACTTTAATAAGACTATGTATGTAATGAATAAAAGTAAAGAGATCTTTAAAACTGAAGCTCAATCACCATAGATTTCACTGATGGATTGCTATGTTTAACGATTTATGTGAGTTTCATTGCCATTTTTTAGGTAACTGAAAGTTCTTTTTAATTGTTGGCTTTCGTTTTAGAATGATGTATCTTCCTTAAATCAGTGTACATTCGAATTAAAACTTAATTGGGATTTAAATGCATGCTGTAAACCTTATAATAGCATTCATTTAGCATCATCGAATGGCCAATAGTAACGATTTGCTTAGTATAAATTACATTCGAAGATAATGTCCTTCATGGGATGACATAAACTAGCGAATCATTCAAGGCAAAATAACACTGTTTTGTTACAGCTAAGGATCTCAAAATAGTACGCACCTATCACACCATACATGGGACTAAATGTTGACATTCAAGTTTCATGGAAAATGTGATATTATTCAGCTATCTAGTATGTGTTTAACTCGGATCTAAATCATACTATGTTAAAACTATGACATCTATTCATCCAAACCATAGATTATCATTGAATGTATCTTCCTATTATTGGCAAACATTTTTTTGGAACAATGCACAAATCACATCATCATTCAAGCTAGAAACTATTAACTGATAATCATATTAGCTGAAACCTTGTATATTTTGAATAGGTCCAAGTCGTTACACTTTATAACAGTACATAAAAAGGAAGATAATTGATAACTGTAATGCATTAAATTAATCAAGAAGAATATTGATTAACGATAGAATATAAATGACAAATAACAGTTCTTATTACATAGAAGCAACCAGTATATTACTACGTTTTAACCTAATTTATTTTAAACTATATTATATAGGGTCTCCATCAACATTTTCTATTATACGAAAGAGTGCGATCAGAGAATCTCCTTGCTTATGCGTAATCCAAGAAAATGGTCAACAGTTTAATTAATAATCAGGTGTTTTGCAATATTAATTTAAGTTGTAAACTATGACAGTGTTATAGAAATTCTATAAATACAACTCTAGAAACTAGGACATATAATTTTATACAAACAAAGATTATCACTTTAAAATAAAAAAATAACAGTTGTAGAATATCTTAACGAAATTTGATACAACTTAGTAATTGAATACAAGTTCATGTATATTTTTAAGTGGGAACTACCGGTAGTATCCAAGTGACGTAAATGGAGTAAATGCTTTAACTATTAAAAAATTGCCTCTATATGTATTATGTGTCTACCACGTACTTAGATTATTCTTATACTTAAATACTGTAATAGAGTACAAAAACAAATATTAAATATGTCTTACAATTTGTATCAACTTTGACCATTTTAATTTAAACGACAACAGTTAGATGAAGTTATTTTATAACTAGAAAAATTTCCCGTCTAGCATTCTAACAACCATTGGCCGTATGATTTGTTTCCATATGTTATTTATACATAATAACAGACAGATTTAGTTCAAGTGTTTTATAAATCAAGTGTAATCTAAACATCTTAAGAAATAATCACCGGAAACTTCGAAATTACTTACTTATACCCGTTACTTGTCATGAAGGAGAATGGGTCGCCCACCAGCATTCTCTATCGAACTCTGTCCTGGGTAATACTTCCCGGTTGTTCTTGATTGCTGATCATTATTTCCGTGTCTCCCTTCGATTCCCAAAGCAATGTGTTCCTTAGTCTGCCACTTTTTTTATTCCCTTCAGCATTCCAAGTTACGGCTTGCCTCGTGATACAGTTTGGTGATTTCCGCAATGTATGTTATATCCACCTCCATAGTCTTTTACTGATTTCCTCTTCAGCTGGAAGTTGGATTTTTCTCTCCCACAGTAGGCTTTTGTTGATGGTATCCGGTCAAAGGACACTCAGTATCTTGCACAGACAATTGTTTGTATATACTGGTACATTTTTTTATGATGTTCGTAGTAGTTCTTCAAGTTTCAGCTACGTACAGTGAAACTAATTATATTGACGTTCATATTAAACACTCTGACTTTGATATTGTTTGACAGTTGTTTTGAGTTCCATATGTTCTTCAATTATAGAAATGCGGCCCTTGCTTTACCATTCCTCACCTTTACACCTACATCAGATACCCATTGTTCACTGATAATGTCCATGTATGTGGAAGTTTTCACATCTTCCAGAGCTTCTCCATCAAGTGTGATTGTGTTGGTTCTGTCTGTGTTGTATTTGAAGATCTTCATTTTTCCATTGTATAAGTCGATACTTACTACCACAGAGGCTGCTGGTATACTGCTTCTCTTGATCTGCATCAGTCGATGTGTATTGGATAGAAGAGTTAGGTCATCTGCGAAGTTCAAATCGTCTAGATTCATTCAAGATGTTCATTGCATTCCAAGCTTCCCCTTAGATGTGAGAGTCTTCGTAATCCAGTCATCCACTCTAATGAAGTGAAAGAGTGAGAGTAAGGAGGCCTATCCGACACTTGAAATGCATCTGTACTGCTGCCTTATATTCACGACTTTGTAGTATGGTCTATCACAAGAATTCCGTATGATGCTGACATTGTTTTCAGGTACACCATCATGTCGAGGAAGGTTGTTCAGGTTCTTTTATCTACTCTGTGAAATGCTTTCTCAAGTTCGAGGAAGTTGATGTGTGGTGAGGAATTTCATCCAACTGGTTGCTCTAGCGTGTTGATTCAGAAGTTGGACATTTACTGAATCTCTCATCTGGTTCAATATTACCCTGTTGGAAACTTTCCGAGTACTGATAGTATTGTGATGTCTCTGTAGTTCACACACGCGTTAAGATCTTTTTTCTTTGGTTTCTTGGTTAGATATACTTTTGCATCTGTCAGCATTTGTTCTTCCTCCCAAATCTTCCTAAATAGAACATGGATCATGTTTGCATTTGTTTCTATCTCTGAGTTCAGTGTTTCAGCTGGTATATTGTCAGGTCCAGCTCCTTTCGCACTCTTGATTTTTGTGATGTTTGGTCATTGTGATTTCTTCTATCGTTGGTGCAGCGACATCTATAGGAATTTCTATGTGTGCTGCTTCAATGGAGTTGGTTTATTCAAGAGTTCTTTAAATTGCTCTACCCACCTGTCCTACTGTTCTTGAATCTCAGTGATCGGCTTAAGAAATAATCACCGAAAACCTTGAAGTGGTAATCATTTATTTCATTCCTACATAACTTTTTTACTAGGGTTAATGATTTGAATGACTTTTCCTGTCAAAACATTTAAAATTAAAAATTGAAATATAACTACAGATTGCTTTTTATATCTTAAGAATGTATAAAACCGTCAGTGTGTAACATTCCGCTGATTTATTTGTCAGATAATCATTTCTTTTAAATTTCACAACAACAAAAGTAAGAAGATAGAATGTTATAAATAGTAATTTGCTATTCAAATTTTTAATGACACTGTTTTGAACATTTTTTTGTGCATTATAAATCGTCAGTAATATTATTATTATCTTTCAGTTACAGAATTAATTATATACTCAACTTATAGAAAAGAATGTTTGATCAATGGACAATAAAACTTTGAAAGATTCATAATGTCTCCTGTTTATTAGTTACCTCAGATATACAAACATGTCAACCTCATTTATCTTACTCTATGTTGTGCTGTTTTAACTGTGTTTTCCTTGTATGTATTACGCTGATTATTAACATTATTTCTCGTTTAGTATCGTGATTATGTTGTTTCTTCTGTTTTATTCACTTTTTCGTGATCCTGTACTTTCATTCTTTTTCTAGTGCTTTTGGTTTTTTTATTTCATGCGAAACTCGACTTTAAAGCAATATATAAGTGTATTATTTGTTTTGTGATTAAGCACTTGAAATTTTTGTTTTTGGCTTTTTGATTATAGAATATATCTCACAGTGTAAAAAATAGCTTACTGTTTAAATTGTTTAATTACCTACCACTAGATTTGAGGTTTCATTGTTGCTTCTAGTTCAGTTTGGACGGCTAGTTAGTACTGTGGTGTGGGTTGCTTATATCCACACAAGTAGTATATAACGGTGGTCAGGCATATAGTGTATTTCAGTAGAAGGTCGATGAGGAAAGAACGGGAACGGAACACAATTGGTGTGAAAACGCATGAACAATGAAATCTGAGACAATGGATTGATGTTTGCGACAGTAACGGTCAAGTTCGAGATGATGGATTGATATTTTGCAAATTAATGATTTACTATATGGTTCTCAGATTTTGTTCACTACAGTACCACTAGCTCTCTCAAATAAAGTTGATCAGTACTCAGTAACTTAGCTAAGTTATCGTATCTTACAGTTATATATTGAGGCGTTGTTGATCAACATCAGATACTTGATTTTGGACTTGAGGGGAAATTATAAAAGAATGGTCACAAAATTACTATTCAAATCTGTGTTTACCATTTTAAATAGGATAGTCTTGCTCATGATCAAAATTGATAAAGCGCCTTTAACTATTGAGAGTACAACTCCAGCATCTCTCATGTACTTTATTTGTAAATCATTATCAACATGTTTAATTCTCTCAAAGGAATCTTAAAGCTCGTTCAAATTGACTAATCAATTGCCAAAATCATAGTTATTGTGTTTTTTTTACACTAAACAATAACCTGTATCATTTTTGGGTTTATATACTAAACGGTATTGAGGTAATACATCAAATGTCTGGGATTTGAGTAACATTTTCAAGTATGACCGTCTTATTAAATAACAGGTCAAGCGTAACAAGTTTATTAACGAGTCAGAGTCAGAAAGCTAAGGACTATATGCTCTAACAGTAGAATAATCACTTATTAAGATGCTAATAAATAACTTTTAATTGCTAATTGATTGGTTTACTGCTCAGGACTGTGTAACAACAATGCCGTAACTTGGTGCTATTTTGCGCTGTCATTGCGTTATAACTACAATAAGCTATTTTTAGTAGATAAATACCACTTGAAAAATTTCCCCCTGTAAAAACCAGAACAAATCATTTCATAAAGCTTCTACAAGGAAGCAATGTAAATTGTCAGCGAAATTTTTCGAAAAGTACTAGTAGTGTGTCCAGATTCAAAAGCGAACCCCTAGGTTTAGTGGTACAACAACATATAACAATTGACCATTCATTGACTCCTTTTGATTCACATATCTTGAGGTACCAATCTTACAATGAGACAGTTTTTCTGTCATTCTTACGAATCTTGTTTACTTCATCGTATCTGCTTGTTTTGGTTAGTCACTAAACTATGTCATAACCTATACGTGTTTACCGAACTTGTTTAAAACGAATAACGTATACAAACGGTTTCAATCTAATAAAGCAGTCAAATTAATTGAAATATCAGCCACTTATTTCCTAAATAAAGACCATTAGTTTTTGTTAGAACTTATTATATCAGGTTTGTAGTTGTATGTTAAATTAGGCAGTAATCTCACAAAATCAAATATTATAAAGCTACATGTGATAAATCATTGATATTGTGATAAATGTGATAAATATTTTAGAAGTTAAGTCATGTTTGAAAGTATAATCCAATAAGATTTAAATTTGACAGGTGTTTGACATACAAATAAATCTATGAGGGATGCAGTTGTGAGGCTAGGTAAGCTTGTAGGAAATTATTATCATATGAAAGTAGTTTTCGTCTGGAATTGAGGTCAGTTAACTTTCAGTTCTGGGTGGTTTAGCTAACACCAATTCATGATAAGAATGACCTTAATATGCTATAATTCTCGCAAAACGATCTTGGCGACCTTCATACAGTGATCTTTAGACGGAAGTGATGCTGATAATTCTGGATTATTTTAACAAATATGGAAAAATCACGTAATTGCCAGTCTTAATCTTGTATAAATTTTAATTCTAATTGAGCATGATGAATTAATTGATTATGTATAAGTTTTCCGTAAATATATAAGGATGTAATTTAAATGATATCTAAAAGTAATGTCCAGTAATTAAGCTTTTGTAACTCCAGTGATATTTTTTATTTCCTACCATTTCTGTGGACATCATATATAATCCCCTAATTTATTTGAAGATTTACTAATGGTAACCCAACTTATTGTCAATTTAGCTATTTATTGTAGATCATCTGTAAATGAATATCTGATAGGAAGGATTTTGTATGTGATCCATATCAAATTTAGCAGATCAATGTAGACTTGGCATTCTTATTTGTTGTGTTTAAAAATCATACTCGAAAATTATCTCTTTAGTTTTTTATTACTATGGATATTATTTTTTAAAACCATTTAAACACCTACCATTTGAGTGGAATATATTAGCGTTGATGTTTATTATTTGTTTTATTTTTCTGTGATATAATTGTCATGACAAATAAACGTTAGTACATAATCATTTGTTCATGATTCCGAGAAAAAAACAGTTTATTCCATAAAGTTGGTCACCTTCATAAGATAAAAATTAAGATGGGTTTTGTGTACTCTGGAAATGATCCTTTCTAGGCAGTCATAAATTTCATTGAACTACTCATCAGTTTGGTTACATAAGTATTCTTCAGTAACCAAATTTATACTATTATATAACAAATATTTCTTTATTTCTTCTTTGGTCAATAAAGTTCGGAATTAATATATGCATGTAATTGAATATGCATACGGTTTATATATATATATATATATATATATATATATATATATATATATATATATATATGCCAGAATGCCAATTCACTAGTATCCTTTGTATTTTTTTGTTTATACATTTCTAAATGTTTCTACAAACTAATATAAAATAATCAGAAGGGGTTTTGTGGAGATTTTTAGAAATTTCAATAGTTGAAGTCATGAGTCAATTGAAGCTAGATCACTATGGAAAACCTGGAAGCACTGAACGGCCGTCTCGTCCTATAGTGAGTGTTCTCAGCAGTGAGCATCCACTATCCCGCCTTGCAGGATTCGAAGCTGGGACCCATCAGTTTCGCGCGCGAACGCTTAACCTCTAGACCACTGAGCCGGCATCCATCGGTGTTAATGTCCAGCTTCAATTAATCCAAAAAATTGAGTGACACATCCACCATTGTCTTCAGTGAGTTACTATCTCACAAAAGACCCGGTTGAACCCCACTGGCCACTGCTTCTCACTAGAACTCCAGAATGTACCTCTTGAAGCCAATCACTAGTGAGCATGGGAATTTCAGAGGTCCCTCGTTCCGAGTATCAGTGATAAGCGTTTCCAACACAACAATTAGCGACGACCAGATATAACAAGTAATATTCATTCAACAAGACTTATCACCTAATCCATCCTAAACAGACAAATCAGCATTACCTGGTGTTCTGTATTATTCTAACTCAGATATTTTCAACATCTAAGAGAAAATTAATAAAAGATCACTCGTTTACGTCTTGAATGAATGTTAGTATTTCTAAACTATTTAAAAAAAAACCCGTACTTCAATGAGAACCTTTGAAGATAAGTTCACAAACCTCAAAAAAGAGTATTCTTTTAGATAAACCTATTTGACTAGTAACATATCCTACATGGTGTTTTTCTTTAACAAAAATCGAATTAACACTAATCATTGAATTAGAAAATTTGTCAATAACCTACATATAAAAGAAAAAGTCAAAAAAGAGAAAGGAAAAATAAAATAAAACTCGACGAAACAAATACAGTATCCATACAAATTTTCACGTGGATAAACTTGTTACAATCTAGATGAAATATCCTATTTATTTTGTAGTAATTTTTATTTCAATATTGGATCACATGTTTGTGAATTTATTCATGTGACAATAATATCTGTAGATATAATGTAACAATAGAACTCTTCATCCTTTTTCATTTTGGGATACTAACTATCAAGTATTTTGTTAATGAATAATGTTTCATGTTTCAAAAAAACATGTTTATCAAGTATATTTAAAAATTATATTTTTATCCAATGGTAAATCATGTTAGTTTCCAAGTTTCCATTCAGTCCATTGTACAAAAAAAATAGTCACATGGATTACATATATATACATGCAAACCAATCGAATATATTTTAAAACGAATCATTAGATAAATTATAGCTGACAAAACAATCTACAAAGTTTACATTCAAAATTAAATAACGCTAATAAAAGTACATTTATGGAATAAGATTTTATCATTTGCGTGTCAAGTCAAACAAGGTTTCCATACTGTGTAAACAAATTTTTATTTTCATAGATAAATTCATGAGTCCATTTAAACTCAATCACTATAGAAAATTTAGAAGCACTGGACGGCCGTTTCGTTTTAGTATGAAACTTTTTAACTGTGAGTATGCACGATTTCTCACGTAAGATTCGAACCTGGAACTTTCGGTCACTCACACGAACGCTGATAAATTAACTGTGTTACTGATAAAGTGTACACTCACAGTTAAATACCGCTAGTAAAAGTACATTTATTGAATAACATTTTAGCATTTGCGTGTCAAGTAGAACAACGTTTTCATTCTGTGTAAGTAAATTTTTATTTTCAATCTGATAAGTGATTCGAAAACAATTATATAAGTAGGAATATACCAACTATCCAAAAATGTCTGAAATTAGGTTAAAAAAATGATTAAAAAGTCAAGTAAAACGTAAAAATGTTACAGAAATATATAGGAAGTGTTTCTACAAGGAAAGTAAACTTAAGAGCTGGTGATGGTTATACATTGAAAAGTAGAAGTGTTTGTGTCCACGTGTCAATTAATCAGATTAAATATTATAAGTGGTGTTGAACTAAAATTCTTATTCTATGTAGACATGGTCGACATTATGATGCTGAATACAAACTGCAATTCTGCATTTTCCTTTGTCAAGCAATAATGAGTGATTCTTTTATAAGTATAAAGAGATAAAAGAAATAAGTACACATAAACAATCGA